ATCTATATACTGTCCTTTCAATTTTGCTACAAATCTAAAACTGCTATAATGGAGACTTTGAGAGAGACAAAAAGAATAAACAGATGTAGTAACATATTTTTAAGTGTCTCTTTTATCGTTCCTTAACTGTAGTTGCATGAAACCATAATATCTATTCCTAGTGTAACCTTCTTATAACCACGAGGTGACAAGCCTATGGATGAGAAGCTGACATACTAAGAAAAAAAAAAATGGATATGCTTGACATTGCATTGTGGCTTGTGGACCCCACTTCAAAGAAGCTGTCACCAGGCTTCTTGCTAGATAAGACAAATGACTGTCTAAATTCTCAGCCACTGTTTATCAGGGATATGGGCCGTGCCTGTTCTCCTGGCATATACTGTTCTCCTGTCAATATACTCTGAGACATATCCTCACTTTCTAACTAGACAAGGGACTTCACCTGATAAACCTGGGCACCTTCTTCTCAGGCCCTCCCTTCGATGTTTGCAATGACCTTGATGTAAAGAAAGAGATGAATTCAGTTTAGCTCTCTAGGATACAGCGAAGGTCAGTGAGGCAGATTGTCCTTGTGGAGAAAGTCTATACCACCAACGATTCCACAACTCCAAGTGTGTTAAAGGGAGAATGTCTATGATGCCTCCAGAAGACGAATTACTCCAATCCCTAGCTGCTGTGACACAGTGACCTATTGCTCCCACAACGATGTAATACAATATGGCTGACCTTTAAGGTAGATTATCCCCACAGGCTAGATCTAATCTTTGAGCCAGCAAAAGCAGAGAGCTTTCCCTTGGCTGAATCAGAGAGGAAGTGAGGGAGATCCAAAGTGTGAGGTGGATCCAGCACATCCTTGGTTTTGAAGCTGAAGAGGCATACGTAGCAAAGCATTTGGTTAAAACTGAGAAAACCGCTCAGATTCTGCAAGGAAATGGGGCTCTCTATCCTACAACCGCAGAGAACTATGCTTGTAGCTGTTTCCTCCAGATGGAAACATTGTATTGTGGAGGAAGCAGGGAGGATCACAAGCCTCATGAAACTCCCAATAAGTGTGAGGACCCTGCTAAGGTTTCAACTCCCATGAAGCAACTCCCATGAAGGAGACTCTTCAGGAGTCCAGCTGCCCATAAGCCATATGGGGAGCTCTACCATGCACTTTGAGCCCTCACCCTTAGTAGGACAGAGGCTTTGACCATGCAGCTGCCTGAGTCACTTTTTTTCTATAAGCATCCCCTCACAAACTTCTCCTGTAAGCAACCCCAATAAATTCACCCATTCACGTAGGCTTAGATGGAATTATTACTTTGGTTCAGCATTGCTCTATCTACAGTGAATACAAAGAGTACCCACCCCAGGAAAAGTAATACAGTAACTACTAGTTTTTTTCCCACATGCAAATTTGTTTGGCAGTAGGTTCTTCCTCAGACCAGGATCCTCATTCGGCCAACACTTTGACTTTGACCCTGTGTGATACCCAGACCATATCATCACCTGAACCCACCAGACCTGTGACCTCCAGAGCTATGAAGGAACAAGTGGGGGCTGTTTCCACTTCTTTGGGTCATTTATACTCTCCCATCCTTGATCACTAGTTGAGAAAATGCCTTACAGCTGGATCTCATGGAGGCATTTCCTCAAGGGAGGCTCCTTTCTCTTTGATAACTCCAGGTTGTGTCAAATTGACATACAAAACCAACCAGTATACCTTCCCATTCTACAAGGATAATACAAAAATGTTTATTTGTCTTTTGAGTGTAAATGACCCAAAGAAGTGTCACCTCAGAATACACTCACCTAGAAGGCTGATGCACACACACACACACACACACACACACTACACCTTCTCTTCCTAAGAGCTGAAAGACATCAAATGAAGGGAAATGGTTAATAATCAATATGCAGACTTTATTAAATGAAATTTCCCCAGTGACAACTGAAAATTCATGCCCCAAGCCTGGCTAGTTAATACAATTGCCTTTCCTCAAATATCATCTAGGAGTAAACTGGTCCTTTAACTGCTGTCTACACGAATAGCCAAGATATGGAGGGGTTTTTCTACCACAACATTACACACAGCAAGCAAACGGCTGCTCGATGCATTGTTTGCATATTGAGGAACTGTGCTTAGATTCCTCTGGAATTCTACCACTCCATAGCCTTTGACAGTTGGCAAATGCATCCCCTATATGTTGCTTGTTCAACAAGACATACCTGTCTCAGGATGACTCCCTGTCTTTGATGGTGCTATAAGGACCTGAGTCAGCCATCAGCATAAAAGTGAAATGTGCAAATGTTCAGGCTTGGCCGGAGAGACCTTCTGGAAGCCGCGCAAAGGAGGAGAATTAATAGCACGCTTCACTTGTAGTGTGAACTGCATTACAGCAGGGTGCACTCCCAATTTGGTAGGCATGCAGTAAAACGGTTGCAATCTCTCCCCTCCTGTGGAACACAATAGCTAGCTCTGCTGAGTGGGATTTGAGAAGCTACAATCCAAGTCTTTCTTCTTTGACCAAAGAAACTGAAACCAAGAGGAGCTACTCAAAAAGGGGGGCAGGGGTATGCCAAATCTGTCATTTCTCCATGGGAACACTCTAAAGAATATTAGGGTTTCTTCTGAGGGTTCAATCACCACAGCCATTTTTTCCAAACTCAAAGGGCTGTACAGACAGCTAAGAGGCACCTCCAAGGAGTTCAGACAGCTCTTTGGAGACAAAGCTGCTGTATCTGAGTTAAGAAGACCTAAACATCTGAGAAGCTGAGTTCTATGGTTTCCATGGTGACCACTGAGGAGACAGGTGCACATTCTAATAAGGTTGGCTAGGCAGCCGGCACCCAGGGAGCAAGGGGTTGTGGGACATTGCAGAAAAGCTCACACATACACAAAACCCATGTTAGTGGCTAGCCTGCCAGCAAACTCTCCTTTTAAGAGGGACAGCAGATCTGAGTTCTGCTTTTCTGACTCTGGACCAAGGTCTTGCCTACCCATTATTTTATTTAGCCATCACCAAAACTTCCTAAAAGTTGACTTGCACTCTGTCGTCTTTTGTCGATGAAGAAATGGAGGCAGCTTCCCAGGACTGCTGGGTTTATGAACGTGACTATGACCCAGCTATGCATCTGATTCTTCTCATATGCTAATGAATTACACCGCCCCTCTGAGAAGCTCCCCTGCATCAGTTAAAGAGAAACAGGATCTAGGATCTGAGGCACAATCTGAAAGATCTCTCTGAGGGCATAGGGGGGCTGATTTAAAGCTCGCCACTCATTCATCGTTAGAGATTCTGAAAAGGTTCGCAAAATGTCCTTTTGAAAACTTTTATCATCAGAGGATTGGGAGATGGTACGGTCTGTAAAGTGCTAGCCACGCAGGTATGAAGAGCTAAGTTCTATCTCCAGCACCCATGTAGAAAGCTGGCGTAGGAACACACATATATAATCCCAGTACTGGAGAGGCAAAGATGAGAGGGTGCCTGGAACTTCCTGGCTGACCTACACAATTAAATTGGTTAGCTCTGGCTTCAGTAAGAGACACTGACTCAAGAAGAAAAAGGTGGGGATCAATCAGGGTTGACACCTGACATTAATATCTGGCCTCCACATGCACATATGGGATTGTGTGCACCTGCGCACACATGCGCACGCACAGACACACACAGAGCTAAGTTACCATAAGAAAGAATTCCATGAAGAAGTTCAGGAAGACTTGAGGATTACATCAGTACTGAGCAGGAACTAAGGTAACAATTAGGAATTAAAGGACACTGACAACCTTAGCCGCTCACATCCATCCCACATGCCTGGCACAGAGCTCAAACATAGCACCTTTAGGAAATAAACTCCTCAAGTTGAGACTTCTGTCCCTCTGTAAGGGTAGGTGTTTTTACATGCTAAGGTAGTAACAATGCCCGTGCCTTAGCACGAAGTAGAGCACTGGTGTCCTGTTGCTGAGGGGATGCTCAGCACTGGGAGGCAGAACGAGGAGTAGCCATGAAAAAGAGACATGAAGCCCAGCACATAGGACAGCAAAATTCCATTTCTAGAAGAATCTAGGATCAGCCTGAAAACATTGTGCAGAAATCCAACAAATGAAGGTACTATAATAATGAAACAGATGGGTTTATATTTCTCTACATCACTTTAAAAACAGTAAGGAGACTATCTTCCATCTTTTTCATTTAGGGTGTGTGTGTGTGTGTGTGTGTGTGTTGTCACACAGGAGTCCATGTGTGTGCACACACACATGAGCGTATCATGGCTTATAGATGATTTGTAAGTCAGCCCTCTCCTTCCACCATGTGAATCCTGGAGATTGAACTTAGGTTAGCAGGAGATGCCCTCACTCACTGAACCATCTAGCCTGCTTACTATCTTCCATAAAGAGACCTAAGTCATGATTTAAATGTGACAAGTGTTAGCTAAGGTCATCATATTAAAAGCCAGGCCTTTAAAGGGGGGGTTAGTTATAAGGACTCCTCCTTCAACAATAGGGTTAAAGCTCTTTTAACAGGCATCACACAATGTCAAGAAGTCTTTCCTTTCTATCCATCCTCCACATGTTGCTTTAGCACCTTTCTCTCTGGGCAATCACACCTTGAGGGACTGGGAGCACAGTCCCTCACCAGGATCTGAACCTTCATCCTACACATCCAGTCCAACCTGTGGGAAATAAGTTTCTGCTGTTTCTATGTCATCCTGCCTCAGGCATTTCATTATAGTAGCATTAACAGACTAAGACAGTGAGCGGGCCTTACATCTTCAGGAAATCTGTGTTAGTAATCCATTCTTAACCTTCTTTGATCCTGGAAGTACCACAAGGCAGGAAGTTATTCAAGAAAAAGGCATTCAGGCATAGTCCTCTGTCCACATCCGAGTAAAGAGGAAACACAATCATAGCATTCAACTATTTTATTCGGTCAAAGCCCTGGCTGCTGCCTTCTAACCCCTATGAGGCTGAAGCCAATGAATCCAGTAAGGAGGGTTTACATTGGTGCAGTACTCACTCGGAAAACCTTTTCCACTCTTGCAATGCTTTTGCCAAAGATGGTTCCAAGTTGGTCTCCAATTCCGGCCAATAAGAAACCAAAAAGCGGGATCCCAAAGATGGCGTATAAAATACAAAAGATTTTGCCTCCTTCAGTGCTTGGAGCAATATTCCCATACCCTGGGGAGAGAGAGGAGAGAGGAGAAGGGAAACAGTGAGGTGACCAAGAAAGAGCATTGACCAAAGAACCCGCAGACTTTCATATTCTCCGAAGCCCTTTACAATACAAAACAGAGCCCCCTGGCCTCTCTCCCTATAGTCTTAATGTGTCAGGGATCTTAATACATTTCAAGAAGTGTATGGTTAGCCAGTTACTTTTCTCTAAAGAGACATCATATATCATGGACACCATTGAATGGCACAAAAAAGTTTCACCTTTCCCTTTGTACACAAAGCCTCCATATGCAGTACTGCTCCCCCGCCGCCTTCCTTGCCTGGACTTGTTATATTCAACCTCTGCTTTCACAGAGTAATAGGCACTGAACATTAAAGAGGAAAGTGGTCTACTACAAACTCAGAATGGACAAAGGACTTGTCCTTCCCTACCCCAGGTAGGCAGTCCTGGTAATGGGGGAAAATAAGTAAGCAAAGACTCTGTGCCTCTTTACACTGATGACAGTGAAGCCAAGCTGTGCCCAACTCTCTTTACTGGGAAGAGCACATAATCCCTGCCTCTTGTGTCTGTGCCCATTACCCTTGCACCCAGAGCAATCATTGCTAAATAAATGTTTGCTGATGGAAGAGAGGCTTGAACATAAAAGAGTCCATCTATAATAAGGTCAATTGAAAGGAGTTTCATATAGTTGTTTGAAAACACGAACATCTGCATTCTTAAGTGTTTTGCAATTATGTCAGTAATTCATGTATAGTGAGTATTGGGATTATTCCACATAAATGGGGCTGGCGATCATATTACTGAAAGAAAGAAGCTTATAATATTAGCGCAATTTGCACAGGGTGAAAGCTTCATGTTCTTGGCCATCTCTTCTGCTCCCGTGGGCCTGGGGAGCTCACTGTCGGATTCTGCCCTGGGGATGAGTCACTCGGCTATTCCTTAACCATCTTGTGCTCAGAATCATTCAAACCTCTTGCCACAAATTATTTAAATTGCAGTTTCCGTTTCTTAGATGAGTATGCAGGCAAGACTTCCTAATCTTGTTTTCTTTTGCTCGCTATCTGGTTGATTTAAGTGTGCAACAGAGCTCCTGGGACTTCTTAGATGCTTTCAGGATCTCGGACAAAAGGATGTTGCCAGGCACACCCACCCAGAATAATCTAATTTACACTGACTTATTCAGTTAGAAAGAAAACAAGCGTGCCTCTGCAGCTTCGCATTACACGGGGGAGTCTTGGAAATATTCTAGAAACTTGTAGAGACTCTGACTCGACTCAGCTCAGCCTTACTTCAAGCCATACAGATTTTCTGTGAGTTCATCTCAGAAAGATATTACAGACCAAACTGAAGCACTGGGCCTGCTGAGTATGCAGGTATTAATCTAGACAAGCTCTACACATGGCCTCTGGTCAGCTCACAGGACATGTTGGTATCACCTAGAGGAACCAGAGAATGGCTTAGTCCCATGGAATCCTTCCAAATCTTATGGTGTTTGAGACAGTCAAGAACAAAAAAGTATTTAGTGGTAGCAGTAATAGGGTTGGTTGGCATTTCACAGATAGGAATATTGCAGTGAAAAAAAATGGGTTCTCTAGGGGAGTGGTTAATAAGGCAATGTTCAAATATGTCATGAGAGCATATATGTATGTATACAGTTGACACAGTGTGTGTATTTTAGACAGTGACTTAAGTGGACCCATGGTGCCTGGGTGGTAAACATGGTAGCTACTGGGGAGCCAAATACCACCGAGACTGAGAAATAGAGGAGACAGCTCACCTGCTACGTGAGCAACTTCTCAAAAAGAACTTAACTAGCACCTCAGATGTAGGGGAAGCAGAGGGAGTCCAGAAGTCCCTCTACCAATCAGCTGCTGCAGCGTCTCAGCGAAGGCTGACCAGCCCAGCAAGGATGGAGAAACAAAGAGGTTATTACAGAAGAGGGCCATATGGGTCTTGGTTCTGTGTTTCCCTAAGTAGAAAACATCTCAAAGTCCTTCAATAGAAAGCTAGTATTTAAAACAACTTAGTCCTGAGACACAAAGAGCTTTCCACATACTTCTTATGTGCCCAAATCAAATCGTTGCCAAACTGTGCCTTTCAGGTAAACACTGTGGAACCAATATGTCTTGCAGAGACATTTGCATGAGCTGTGCAAGTCACACAGGATCTCACACGCAGAAAGGGCCTATGAGGAGGACAAAAAAAATTTTCTTGTGCATACAAATAAACACTGGAGAAGTCAGGAAAAGGTAAGCACACAGCTTCTCATTTCAATGGGATGAGGTGCTTAGCTGTTGCTTAGAATGCTGGGAATAAATGCAGTTTACCGCCTAGAGATCCTCTGCTGCCTGCTGAGCCAGGCTCTGCCTGGGCCTCCCACAATGCATGCTTTACTTATCCCAAACCTTTTCTGTTTAAATCTTGGGCATTATTTCTAGGCCACAACCCTCATCCTTATGAATGATGTCACTTGTGTTTTACAACTAAGCGACTTCTGGGTTATCTTAGGGCCAGGCCAATCCTGATACCTGCCAGCATTATGTTTACCTCAGTCATTCTCCTAAATCTTGGGTACCATCTATCTCTGAGTCAACAGTACCCATTTTGTACCCAAAGTACCTAACAGTGGTTTATAAAGAATCACAACACACACAGGTCCTAAATTTGTTGTGTACTGGAGACGGAGTTAACTGTTTTCAGAAAACATTTTTTCCTCAAAATTGTGTTGTGCTTAAATACGGTTAAAGCAAATGAATGATGTCAGACCCTCGAAGTCTTGGCCTGGCACTCGTTACATAAAACCTGCTAAACCGAGTTTCGTTCTTCCCTCACCTGTGTCATTTCCCTGCTGGCTGTAAAGCCTGGAGGGGCCTTCCACAGTCCTATGTTTGGTTAAACGTTCTGATGCTTCCATGTTGATAGTCTTAATCACTTTTTAATAATGAACCATGTGTTTTCAGTTTGCACCAAGCCCTGCTGACCTTGGTAAAATGACAACTAGGATCCATTGCTTACTTCCTGTGACATAATGGATAACTATGTCCATTATGTCACAGTAAGCTCTAGCTCTCACTCTTGCCATAGATAAATGAGGCCAATCCCTACCCTATGTGGTTATTCCAAGTATGAATGAACAGCAAGTATGTGGACCACGCTACCCTATATCGGTAAGTGTTCTGTACAATGGTTGCTATTTGGGTAGCCATGGATTAAACATCCAATCAAAGTATTTAATAAGTTTAAGCAGACACTTCAGCACCTTTTCTGGTCCAACCCTTTGTTGATGCTACTTAGGCAAGAAACACAATCAATCACCAGCTACCTCCTGACACTTGACCAAGAGGTATATGATCCTGAAAATGTCTCAGAGACTAAAATCTAATTGCGTTTCACAGCCATTGGTAATAATGTGGATTCAAGTAGGGCTGGAACCTGGAGGCAGGAGCTGATGTAGAGGCCCTGGAGGGTGGGGGTGAGTTGCTGCTTACTGGCTTTCTCTGCCTGCTTTCTTATAGAACCCAGGAGAATCAGCCCAGAGATGGCACCGCCCACAGTGAGCTAGGCCCTCCCACTTGATCACTAATTGAGAAAATGCCTTACAGGTGGATCTCATGGTTGCATTTCCTCAAGGGAGGCTCCTTTCTCTGTGATAACTCCAGCTTGTGTCAAGTGGACTCACAAAACCAGCTCATTCAGGCTGTAAAATGGCATTGGATAAGGGAAGACAAAATGGAAAAATAGTCCACTATGTATACATATTTTTCCTTTTGAAAATTTTCAATCTGTAATTTGTCTTAGTGTATGATATGAAAGCACAGATATAGACAGCCAATGGTTTTAGCATAATCTCTATATATCAGCACACAAAAGGCTTTTTTTAAATAAATAAAATAAAAATTAAAAAAGCAGATTGATACTGGGTAGCGGTACTGCTTTTCAGAAAAGGCCCTACCTAACACACATAACTTCATGCTACACATGAGAGTCTTTCTAGAAAGTGATTTGGCAAACTCTTAAAAGCCCTGTGCCCTTTGACAGAGCAATCCCTGTGGACCTTTTCCAAGGAAACAAACAACTTCCTGCATAAAGGTTTTCACCATGGTGTTAAGAGGGTCACAAAAGTAGAAACATCTTAATCCCTCCACATGTGATGGCAGTACGGATACTGAGCCCAAGAGGGACATCCCTCCACATGAGATGGCAGTACGGATACTGAGCCCAAGAGGGACATCCACAATGAGCTTTGTGAAGAACTCTGAAGCTCTAACATTGCTCAAGTAAAGAGATATGTGAACAATATCCGCTTGCAAACTATCTGACCTGGAGCTAGCAGAACAGGCTCTGAGCTGCACAGCTAATGAGACAGCACTTCCCATGATAACTGCTACACTTCCCTGACTCCTGGATAGTGGAAAATTTCTCAGGAATAGCTGGAAATGGACAAAGCCCTGAGACTACTTGTAAGCCTTATCATAAACCTTGCAATGAACTTACCATAAGTACCTATTAGCTTTTTTTAATGTAGCAATTTGTTTCTCATCTCATTACTTCTTGAATTTTATCAAGCTAGTTATTTTTTTTAACCTCTCTAACTTTATAACAGCCCTCTGGAATTAAATTTTCCTCAGCTAAATAGTATTCAACTTACAATTCATTATGTCTTAGGTAAGAGAAAGAGAGGGAAAAGTAACATTTTTTAAGTTGCATAGAACAAGGACCCAGTCTGCTGTAGGCTGTGGGTAGTAGGTTATATTTTTGGTTTTGTCTGCGTGGCTGTTTTGTAGTGGTTGCCTGTTGGTAGGCAGCATCTTCATAATTTGCAATAAAGGTCCTGATCCTATGCACAATTGGTTGAACACAGTGGTCAGCCTCTTTCTGCAGAGGGAGCAGCCTCTCAAATAGCCAAGACAAGGACACATGAACCCAGAGGCTCATCCAACAGGGAAGCTCCTCCTAAGACTTGAATGAAGATCACGTGACCAGAGAATGGGCAATGATCACTTGATCAAAGGATATTTATGGACCCACTATGAACTCTCTTCCCTTTGTGCACATTGGTTTGGATTGTCTAAATTATAGAAAACCCAAGCCTAAAAATCCCACTGACTATAGAAAACTAGAAATTTTAATATGCTTTTACTATTTGGCAAGTAGCTCCAAGAGCTCACAAGACATGAGCAGGATCCACTTACCACTCACCCTTTCCTTACTCTGGGAGTGTTAGCTCCACTCTAGACAGAGAAACGTACTGAGAGAAGACAGTGGGGGCAATGGCTTGGCTCTTTCTTCTCTAGGCTTACCATCAGTAAGAAAGTAAGAAAGCCATGCCCTCCAAAGTTCAAGCAAAATCCCAAGAAGTTCTTGTCGGCCATTTTAAACTGATAACTAGCCACAGACTGGATTTCTTTGTGTACATAATGTCATTCTTCTTCAGGACCTAGGAATCATGAGTGGTAAAGTGAGGGTCATAAGTGGAAAATAAATATCAGATATACTGTTGTTAGGAGTAAGGTGTATTAAAAAAAAATGTATGTGTTGGTTGGGGGAAAACCACGTAAGAATCAGTAAATACCATTAGAGCTTTACTGACAATCATAGCAATGCTCCAGCATCCAGCATAGAGAGTGTTCTCTCAATGCATCAGACAAAACCCCAATTTAATGATTTCATACTACAAGGAAATGAATCTTTTTCTATTATATGTAGTATACCCTAATAAGTCGTGGATCCAATGCTGGTACTCTAGAGAACCCTAATAAGTCATGGATCCAATGCTGGTACTCGAGAGATTTTTCCAAAGTACATGTCCTGAAATGGCCAAGAATTACATCACTGGCCTTGTAGATTTTCAGCTTTTGGGGGTTAGTCTAAGAATTATACCATCAGCATCCTGGATCTAAAACCTTTGAACTTGGACTTTCTCAACTTTGATTAGTTTACAAGTCCTCTCTTAAAATGCATGATGCCCTTCTTCATCTTAATAATCAGACTGTCAAACACATTCTAACCTGACATTGTGTTTATCTGAGGGATGACAGCTATCTTCTTGTGTTGGCTGAGGCTCATAGTGCCACAGAGGTATAGGCCACATGCTTTCTCTGTTGTGTTTGGTGAGTTTGTGGATTCCGTCAGACTAACCTGATCTGGAGCTCACAGAGGCTTCTGGGTACAAACTACATGCTTAATGGATACTTGGAACTCTGACAATAATAGCTGGTGTTAACGAATTTAAGAATTGCAAATGTAAAATAGATTGTCATCTAATTAGATTAAGAGAGTTTCTTGTTAATTTTAGGTGTTTACCCAACTGGGTTATGAACACCTAGAAAACTGATAAATCATTATTATTGGATGTGTTTGTAAAAAAGAAAAAAAAAATTCTAGATGTTTCCATAGGACATGATCATGTGAGTTACTGAACTAAATATGGAAGATTCAGCATCAATATAGGCAGGACCATCTGATTGGCTGAGGGCTTGAATAAAACAAAAGATGAGAAGACATAGAAAAGAATTATTTCTCTCTTCCTACCTACCTTCCTCTTGACTTCCCTCCCTCCCACATAGGCATATATACAAGTGAGATACATTCTTCTTTTTCTACCCTTGAGCATCATAACTCCAGCCTCGCTGGCCTATAGTCCCCAGGAATTACATCACTGGTCTTGTAGATTTTCAGCTTTTTGGAATTAGTCTAAGAATTATACCATCAGCATTCTGGATGTAAAACCTTTGAACTTGGACTAAACTATCCAAAGGTGTCCCCTGAGCCTCCAAGCAAGTAGCCTGCCAAGCAACTTCTTAGGCCCATGACTGCAGAAACCAATTCTCTTGTCCCGTGTCTATGTGCATATAACCTTTCCGCTTCTCTGAACACCTCAACTGATACAATTCTCAGTAAGAATGAAGATTCTTTTTCACGCTGTTTGTTTGTACCACATATAATTTTCTTGATTTGACTAGTGCAGAAGAACATAGACCTCATGATTAAATATTAAAACAAAAATATATGCCTCTAAAATATGCACCTGTTGAAGTTGACTGTCCACACTATAAACCCAAGTTAAAAGCTTCTCAAAAGGAATAGCTGGGCCTTACAGAGAATTGGAGTAGAAAGTTCCTCCCAGGAAGGTTAAAGCCATCTCCCAGAGAGGGAGATTTCCAGCCAAACAAGCAATGGTGAAGGGGACAATATGAGAGGCGAGGTGCACCAACAGTGACTCAGGTTTAACACAGAGCAAGTGTGGCAATGAGAGTGAGCAGCAAACAGAATATAAGGCATGAGCTCTTGTCTCATGTGTAGAATGGGTAGTGCTCACAACGTGATGCAAAAGGAAACTGAGATGCTGGACCAGCTTCCTGTCTGAACTACATGGAATAGCTAAGAACTCACGGTTAGTATTTAAAACTGACAAGTCACACTAATTATTTTAAGGCAAACACTGAAAAGGTGATGTCAGCTAAAATTGTGTGGTGGAGAAAGACGATAAAGAAAAGGTCATCATTCATGTTCAGAATCTATGCACACTGGCTAATGACTAGAATATTGAGGACACTATATGCCGTTAAATTATAAAGTAACCCCAAAGGCAAAAACTCACAACACCTGAGTATCAGAAAACATATAAAAATAAATACATAAAATGAGGCAGATACTGCTGTGAGAATGCAGTGATGACAGTTGATTGAAGGACAGGCCACAGAGAGTATGTCAGAGTCAGCTTCAAGGGAACACCAGGGTTCTAGGTAACTAGACTATCCTAGGCAGATAGGGACACAGGAAGTAGAGCTCTCTGCAAGTGAAATGGGAAGGACGAAAGAGACCAGTGCTTCCACCTGCACAGTGGGAAGTCGAGAGACAACCCCTAAAATGGAAAATTCTAGAAGTGGCCATACCAGTTTGATATTAAAGCCACAGAGGTAGATATTAAAAACAACAGACAAAGGGATGAAAATGATTTTCTCGGGAACAATTTACAAAAAAAACTGGAGAGGGGCAAAGGGTCTTTTCCCCCAACTTTGCAGAACATCTTCATACCACTATATATAATTCTACCAAGAAGTACAATCTTTAAATCCGAATGCAACAAAACAACCCAAGGTCAGCTGACCAACCCCTGCGTTCTAGTCCTGCTTGGCATCACATTCCTCCATTGAAATACTCTTCAGCTTTTCATTTTGAAGTCTTCACCATGCTTTGCTCCTTCCTGACGGCAGCCACAACAGCTGCATTCACCTGACCGAGGAGGGAGAACCTGGTCCCTCCTCTGTCAACCCATTCCTCAGGAGGGCCTGCAAAGGAGGAGAGATATGTAAACGAGTGAGTACCTATGGTCGTGATGACCGTCCCAGCAAAGAAGAAGGCACTTCCAAGGTCCCAGTGACTGCTGCTGTTGGAAGAGTTTCCTACCGGGCTGACTCCCGCATTATCGGCATCAAGCGCATGCTGCGAAGAGAGGGAAATTCACACAACGAGTTAGAAGGATATTTTTAATCTCCCAATAAATCACTCTACTGCTCTAGATCCTACAACGATCTCGATGCCACCAGTAAAAGCAGAAAAATGTACACACTCACCCCCACACATGGCTACTACATTTTTATACATTGTTGATATTTTATTGGGGGGCGGCAGGGGTGTGCAGGCACCACAGTACACATGTGGAAGGCAGAGAACAGCCAGAGGGATCAGTTCTTTCCTTCCAGCATTCGGGTTCTGGTAAGGGAATTCAGATCATCATGATTGACAGGAAGCACCTTTTACCCAAGAACCACCTCACCAGTCCCAATCTCTTTTTTTTTTTCAATCAGCCTGAATGACTCCTCCCTCAGGGACCACTGGTATCCCACCCCATACGCTTCTCAATACAGCCACTATATTGTTCCCAATGGTGACCCTGTCCCATCTCTCAGTGATTGAAATGTCTCCACTCCGTGGAGAACTCTCTCACTACTTCCCCTTTGATCACACTCTCTTGCAAACTACACCCATCCTTCATATCTAACCCAGGCCCCTCTTTTCCCCAAACCCTCAATCTATACATTGCAGTCCCACAACTGGCCCCTTCTACAGCTTATGCTTGTACATCAATTCCACATAACCCTAGCTTCAGCATGAGCAGAGGAAGATAAACCCCCTCAGGGGCCCTCCCTGAGCCGACCTGGCCATTCTGCTGCAGGTGGGGTGCAGGAGTTGCTATTGTGAATCTCAGGCACGTGAATCCCACAGTTGTGAGCCGTAATGATAAGACCTGGGGCCTTCATGGAGGAGATGACCCAGGCATGAGCTATTTAGAAAGACTGAGACGCCATAGGGCAAAGTTGGAAATACCCAATGTAAAGAGGGCATGGCAGAAATGATGAAATGTGTTTTTATTTGTTCTCGGTATTCCTGTTTAAGCTTGGTTCAAACAGGTACATAGTGGTTGTCATAAATCAGAGGACAACAGGAAAGTCCTCATTCTCTTCAAAATAGACTCCCAGTGAGATCACTCAAGCATTCTAAGACAGGGATAAATGACCTGATCTATAAACTGCCATACAGTGAATATTTGATTTAGCCTCTTAGGTTATATAGAGTTTCTGTAGAATGTTTTTTTTTTCCTTTCTGTTCTCTTAGAAATAACTGCTTCGATATGCAAAAATATCTTTTCTATTTCAGAGATGATACAAAAACAAGCTGTAGAATAGATTTTGCATGCAAATAAGACTGGCTAGGGGACAGGACAATGACATTTTCTATTTAAGTCTTTAGTCTAATCCTCCTGGCCTCTAGGAGTATGAAGTGTTGTGATCGAGCTTCCTATGGTTTCTAACATAAACTCTAGCTCCCTAGAATTTAACATCAGCTGCATGGGGTGTGTAGATATTTTTGCCGATGGTTTGGCTAACACAGTTACTCATTAACCCAGAGCTACCTTTTGATCTACTGTGAGTTTGTACATATATGTATGGAAGTCCATGTATGGCTATGCATGCATGTGTGGAGGGCAAGCGTCAACAATGGGCGTCTTCCTCTGTCATTTGACAGCTTATTTTCTGAGACAAAATCTTTCAGTGAACCCGGAACTCACCAACGATGTAGACTGGGGCTGACTAGCAAGCTCTGGGATCCTCTGTCTCCCCATCCTCATCACTGACATCACACATGCTCGGATGAGCTGGTCTTCACCCTTGCATAGCAAGCATTTTTCCACCTCAGTCATCTCCAGGCCTCCACTCTGCTTTTTAGGGAGGCAGGTGGGGAGCCCTTTGCAATGCTAAAACCTCACTTTCGTTGTGCTGTGTGAGAGCCATCCAACCATGTCACCAAGTCTTAACTTAGGCTTACATCCTCTTTATCTACCCAACTCTGATGGCTCCACTCACCCATTATACTGCCAGGACAGTTCTAGGCTTCAGTCACTCGGGCATCAAATCACGCCACCAATACCTAATAATTTATATCTTCTATAAAACTTGAACGAGAGAGTTTAGGTTCGGTCAACTCTCACTGATCTGAGAATTTCACACAAACATCATAAATAAACCCAGCACCGCACATAGAAAACAGATTTACAAGAAAGACAAACGGGAATGATTATTGCTCCGCCAAAAAAGATCTGAAGTCAGATGCCTTTTCAAGTTTCATTTTTTCTCGAATAGCGCAAGTAATAAATATTTAATGTCTTTGCATGTAACCCTCAAAGGAAGCGTTTATCAACTGAAAGGGAAGGAAACTAACACTCATCAAGCACCTGCAGGGAGCCAGGTACTTTAGACGGTACCACTACAGTTTATCATTTCCCCAAATCCCAAGAAGCTGGTATCACTCATTCCCACTTGAGCAACGCTGTGACGGGCATGGGAACGTTGAATAACACATGTGAAGCCACAAAGCCAGAGAGCAGAGACTCAAACCCTGTCCAGCCCAAAGTGGACATTTTTGCTTGCTCTACCCACAATACCCAGAATGCACTCCACTTCTACTTCCGTCCTTTTATCCACTTGAAGATGAAGCATGCCCATTGTCCTGAGATGCAGGCAGGACCAATCCCACAGGGATCATTTCTAACTCCCTTGAACATGCATGTATGTGGAGACCCCAAGCTTCATTTGGCTGTTGGAAATTGTCATGATTTAATTATTCTGCACCAAAACAAAATTGAGATCTGGGGAGATGGCTCAGTCAATAAAATGTTTACTCAAAAGAATGACAACTTCACTTTGATCCTCAAAACCCACATAAATATGCCAGCCATGGTGATTCATGTTTGTAATCCCAGCACTGGGAAGGAAAGAGACAGGGAGCTCCTGGGGCTCTCATGGCTGCCAGTCTACCCCAACGGATGAGCAGTAGACCAATGACAGACCCTGTCTGTCAAAGGAAACAGTGAAGCTCCTGAAGATAGAATCCTTGGGTGTCTTCTGGTCTCCACATGTACTCCAGAAGACACAGGTATTCACGCACATGCACACACACACACATACACACACACACACACACACACACACACACACATGCTGAATGAATGAATGAATTTAAAATACATTAAAATGGTAGAAAAAATTAGTTGGTTCTATGAAAGGAAGAGAATGAAAAAGAGAACCAGGAACTATTATCCTAGCCTTTCATCCCAGCATTTGGGAGACAGAAGCAGGTAGATTTCTGCTAGTTTGAGGGCCAGCCTGGTCTACAAAGCAAGTTCTAGGACAGCCAAGGCTACACAGAAAAACCTGTCTCAAAACAATAAATAAGTATATAAAATTCAAATGGCCAGTAAACCTGGTTATGACTGTTATTTAAAATTTGAGGATCAATTCTTGTAGTTGTAACTGATAAAAAAAAACACTATGTTTCTTTGAGGTACCAAGTAAAATATTTAGTATATATTATACATTGTGTAATGTTCAAATACAGTAAACAATTAGCATTTACTTATAGTGAAATGACTTAAAATGTATCTAGCTTTTAAAACTTGTATACAATAGAAACATTCTTTTAGCTAAACAGCAGTAATTCTAAATAAGTCTGCATTTTAACATTAATTAGTATTTAAAATTAACTTTATTAATTTTTAAAGCATCGTTGAATGTTCTTAATGGCTTGAGCTCAAAACATTTTATAATTAAATGAATTTTCTTTGATGCTTCTATTATCTTTGTATTTATGGCACAAAAGTCAAGCAAAGCTGGACATGGGGATATGCACCTTGAATCCCAGAATTTGGGAAACTAAGGCAGGAAGATCAGGAGTTCAAGGCTACATACGGCATTCTAGGACAACCTGGGCTTCATGAATTGTCTCAAGTCACAGAAAAAAAAGCAGGGGTGGAGATTAGCAAACAGCCAGGATATCATGATCATTTGAGCATATGAGCAATGTAATGATTTGACTGAACTGACGTGTACAGTTGTGTTTAAAAGATGTTATTGGGGTCTCGGGAGAAGGCTCCAAGGTAAAGCACTTACTTAGCTGCCTGTGGCTCTAGCTATGTTCAGTCTCCAGCATTTCAAAAACAATTATGGTTGTTGTATGGTAAAAATTCAGCTGACACTAACATCAATTTAGGTGACAATCTCTGACTCAATGACCATCATCTGTTCACCTACAAAGGCAACTACTATCAGGTTTACAGGGCTCTTATGAGCAGACAGGTGACAAGTGAAAGATAAAAGAGGATTGGTAAGGTATTGACAGATCAGAGATAGACATGTCATGGGTGATGGGTAGATGACAGATATATTATTGATAGATGATTCATAGAAAAATAGATACATAGATAAGTGAATAGATAGATAGATAGATAGATACATACATACATACATACATACATAGATACATAGATAGATACATAGGTACATAGATACATACATAGTTACATACTTAGATACATAGATACATAGATAGATACATAGATAAATACATAGATAGATAGATAGATAGATAGATACATAGATACATAGATAGATACATAGATAGATACATAGATACATAGATAGATACATAGATAGATACATAGACACAGGCTCATAGGTAGATAGATAGATAGATAGATAGATACATACATACATACATACATACATACATACATGCTACATAAAAGAAGACATTACTTTATATTCTAATTCCACCCCTTGTTAAATTTCCTGTTTGACCCTTGAGTTAGAATTTCTAGCACCAAGCCAGCTGCCTAGTAAATGACTCAATGACCCAAGAGGGACCGCTAGAGCGAGTGCTTAATTGAATAAACAAGCTAAGGTAATAGCCATAAGCACACGATCTTTCCAGAGGTAGGAAAGGAAAACATTTCTACTTCTTAATATATGACATAATCATAAAAATAACAACGACCAGTACACAAATAAATGTGTGGGCAGGTAAAATCATCTTTAAAAAAAAGGAGGGGGGGGAGACAAGAAGGTAACTGACTTAGAGGAAGGCAGCATCTAAAAACATCTATGCCT